ATATTCACGTGAGTATTGTAAAGTTTTCAATAATTTCGAAGTTGAATATTGTCTGAAGATCTGAAACTAACAAATAAATATTGTGGAGTATATGTGAAAAGAGAGCGGCTTGATTTAAAAAATTCCATTATTAATATTTGGGCCTATTTTAGAGATGAAAAATTGTCATAAGACGAAAAAGCAAAATACACATGAGCCATCGTACTTGTTTAGTACGATGGCTCATGTGTATTTTGCTTTACAACATACAACCTAGATTTATGGATTTTTACAAACTCATCATTCTATTGGTCATCCTCAAGTTATTCTCCGTAGAATTTCCACATCAATTACAAGAATGTTTTTGGAATTATTTTTTTCATTAAAATTTTACTTTTCACTACTAGCACATTTTTGTGTTTAAGAACACACCATATCTATTATATCTTCTAATTTTAAGGATTTGGTTTACCTTGTCAGGTTTTTTAAATACGGCTCAGAGGCAGTTAACAACCACAAGTTATTTCTTTAAACGTTTTTTACAATTTAAATTTTAGCGACTTAGTATAGCGTATAATAACATGTTACAGTATATTCTTAGCTTCTTAAAATAACTTAGCTATGATTGTAAAAATTAGTTTTCCTTTTTCTATTCGCAGATGAATGGACAAGCTTATGGCCCAACTTGTGTGAACGGCAACCGGAGTCCAAGGACACCACACAATCTTGAGACCATTCCGATTTGAGCAACCGACGCGCGTGGACGTGCTCATTGTTCGTTCGATTGCCCGACCTCGGTTCGTGGCACATCTGGCGTCCAAGTGTTTTGTCGGAAGTGACTACCGGTGATAATAGATCATTGTTCGTGGCACATCTGTGGCCCAAGTGTTTCTCGGAATTTGTACCTGCGCCTAATTGCAAGGCATTGCCGCCNCCTTTGCTCGCCCACCTGTCCTGGTGAAACTGGAAAGGCCTCCGGGCCACCAGTAATCCTTCAATCATAAAAAAAAAAAAAAAAAAAAAAAAAAAAAAAAAAAAAAAAAAAAAAAAAAAAAAAAAAAAAAAAAAAAAAAAAAAAAAAAAAAAAAAAAAAAAAAAAAAAAAAAAAAAAAAAAAAAAAAAAAAAAAAAAAAAAAAAAAAAAAAAAAAAAACTTGAGACAGTAGGTCGAAGCCTCAATTGCATAACGGCTGTCTCATCCATGAAAATAGACCGCATTACTGGGTTGCCGTCGAAGCTGACAGGATGGTGCTACCAATCCATGCTAGATTACTCAGCACATGTACTCAGTACATGCAGCACTCACACCAAAGCTGAAAAGTTATTAGTAAATTCTTTGGTTTGAGTTGGAGAGTATTCGAAACTTCAGAAATAATAAAAATAATTTAAGCTCAAAGGTATAGTTCGTAAATCCGTATATAAGGTCCTCTATTTCTGAGCCGCAAATTAAGCAATTTGACTTTCATGATTAACACTTAAAGAGTGCATATAATTGAAACTGAAAAGCGCGCACAACAAATATGATATTAAATAAATAAATAAAATACTACTAATTTAAATAACAATGTCATAAAAAAAACTACAATGCACTCGGGCCGTACTTTAAAAAAAGTGCGTGAGCGGGAAAGAAAAAAGAAAATAATTATAAAAAAATGAATGCTATTTATTTCAGAGGTTAATTAAATACATTAAGACCTAAGCCTCGGCACGGTCGGTTATTAACAAATATTACTCACAATATTCATCGTTAGAACAGTTCAGGGTAGATTACGTTTTATTATTTCCTGCAAAGGTTGCCTTGGGATACAGTACAGATATAAACAGTGTTAAATAATTACGATTATCTTCCTAAAAATGTTCCTTTGGTTATTTCGTTATTAGTTTAAATTTTATACATGAAGATTACTGATTTCACTGTTTATCTTGTTTTGACTTTTGATCCCAAACAGCAATCCTCATATAATTTTACTTAATGTTTCGACGTTGATATCTCATGATAAAAATGGTAAAGTATGATACTCAGTGATTCTCCTAAATATCTAATGGTACATTTTTGATAAATACTATCAATTTTAACTAATCAAATTATTAACGAATTATTAATAATATGCATATTTGTCGTTCTAATATATGTTTTGATTGGCATTACGTATGTACATATCACATATTCTTGAAACAAGTGATAATACTTACTGATGAATTCTTTCGTATATTGAAAATGAGTAAGTAATTCAGTGCTATGCATTTTATTTTCATTCACTATACAGAAATAATGTGTGTGAGCGTTTTCTTGAGGAGAATTAAAGAACATAGATGATTTAGAGATAACAGGACGTCTTACTATTTATTTTACCATAAAAATTGGAAGTTAGCATGTCGAATCTTTTTTCAAGGATTTTTGGAAATTAAAAACTATTGAAAATTCAAATGTAAGCTTTATAATTTAAACAGAACTGAATACTTTTGAAGATTTTTTGTTAATTTTATTAAGGACGAGTTCTACTGTGAGAGCAACGATAGAAACTAGTATGTACTTAATTTGCAATATTCTCTTTTAAGAGAATTTATTTGTGCTTAAAAACCGAATCAAACTCCAGTGTTTGGGTTTCTTAGAAACGCAATCCGTCACATGGCGAAACTTATTATGACGAATGTACAAGTTGGCCATCAGAGAAGTTCAACAACTACGGTGTCCAGGTTACCAACGAACAAATCCTAAATCTATATATATAAAAATGAATTGCTGTTCGTTAGTCTCGCTAAAACTTGAGAACGGCTGGACCGATTTGGCTAATTTTAATCTTGAATTATTTGTGGAAGTCCAGAGAAGGTTTATAAGGTAGATAAATGCATTTTGCATTTTGTTTTCCCTTTGATGTGTCCCCCGTCGGACGGATTCCTTTAGTTTGTTTTATGTTTATTTTATACAAAAGTTTAGGTCTTTTATTTATCGATTGAGGCACTACGAAGTCTGCCGGGTCAGCTAGTCGTAAATAAATATGTTTATTCTTGTAGGTTAGTACGACAATGTAGCATATCCCGCGACTTCGTAGCTGAAGTGAAATGGGTGACGCGGTAAAACTTACAAATATTGCGAATCAATTGTTTATTGCTTAATGATGTCGTTTCATAACTAAACATGAACTAACTATTGAATTGTTTTTTATCCTACTCAAAGGTCAAATTTAATAAAACTATTTATTGTTATCGGTTTTATAAACGTGTGCAAATTTTCAAGTTCGTCGGCCGTCTTGATGTTGTTGAAAACAACGTTAACAGAGTGGCGGGACCTAGTAGTATGATAGAGAATCACAATACATCATACCATCGGTACTTATGATTAGAATTAAGGCCGCAGTTGGATAAGGAAACGAAGGTGAAGATTCTACCATACAGATACCCCATAGATGAAAGATAAATTCATGCTTTTAATGACGATGGATTCTTAAATATATTGCACGTAAATAATTACTTGTAAACGGCTGAACCGGATCACAAGTCTCATAATTAACCATGGACGCCAAACTAACCCTGTTTTGAAATATAGTTTGCATCATTTCATAGCAATTTTAATCTATCGATAAAAATTACTGTTTGTGTGTCTGGAATCTAAAAGAAACACGTTCGGTGAAGTTACTCGTAGTATAACCTTTCGAGGTTATTAGCATAGGTAGAAAAGTAGAAGAAAATGTTCGATAATTTCAGATACAAGCGCCACTAATGAACGATAAGTGGCACGGGAGTCTCAACAATTGGATCACCTCCATACTATGAGTTAGTGATAATATATAATCGTAGCGGAGCGTGATCAAATTTTGATAGTTTAGAATCAAATGAAACATACAACATAAGATTTTAGATGATTGTTAGGGCAGATTTTAGTCTTTCAGGCTGAGCCTCGTGAGCTCATCCACCAGTCAAGTTGAAGCCAGAATAGACCATCGAGGATGTTGGCAGAGAGACAAAAAAATGGCTGGCCTAACGTTAGTTCTCCAAAAAATTTATACCGTTATTCTGACACTTTTCAATTTACTGTCGATTTATAAATACGTCGCTTCAGGACTATATACTATACACTCATGAATTGGCCAATCAAGTTTGTAACCTTAAAATACAATGACAATAGAACTATCTCTTTTGCAATAAGAACAAGTGACATAATAACGAGACGACGTAATAAAAGAGTCTGCAGTGAATTTAAATGTTTCAGGAAAAGTTCAGTCGGTCGAGGTTTCTTCTTACAATGGTGTTAGAAACTTTTTACACCTCATTTATATGAAAATTTCTTTTGCAGTTACCTAACCATATGCTTCATATTTTACTGGACGAGTTGTAATAGTATATCTCGAACTTACGGCTATTTAACTGTAAAGTTAGTTAACTAAAACTGAACTTTATGTCGCAGAAAAGTAAATGTACATTTCATTGGCATTCATACTTACTTTGTACATTAATGTTCTTTGGGCAAGTTAATAAGAAATATCGTCTTAATATTAAGCAGATTCTAAAATAAAATTAAGAACTTAGCAGCAGTGAAAGGTCAATATTGTAACGTTTTATACAGTTTAGTAAAATTTAACGGCACGTTAAGTACGCCGAATTCAAATTAATAGAAATTGAAGTAGGAAGACTAAAGTTAACTTTCGGTTGAAATTAATGAAGATTACAAAATTCACGGCCATTGAGTTCTCCGCCCCGGCGAACCTTTGACTCTAAGTTACTTGTTAGAACAAATTGAGAGAAATAATAAGGCTCATTTGTTTGGTTTAAACGGTAACGACGGGATATTATTATTTAACCACGTTCAAATTTCAGAATACGTTTTTATTTTAGTGTAAACGTCATTGAGTTATAAATTTGACGTAAAGCTATTTCCTTTAAAGTCTTGTAATATGTATTATTGTCTTATATTGTGGTTCTTCAATAATTTGATACGTATTCTAAGCTTTTTTTATAAATCTCTTTAAGTCGTTTTTTTTATTTTTTATTAAAATAATTTTATAGACTTGGTTAAATACTCACTTTCTTCCCTTGTGATCGGTGTAAACTATGTGGTTCCTGACAGCAGGAGCCTGGCGACTCCTCCCTAGCGATTGCGTCTCCATCATCCGATTTGCATCATATTATAGCTTAACGACAGCGCATGTGGATCTACCAGTCCGCACTGTTAGTCGAGGCGAGCCGCCAACACTTCCAAACTGTCCGTTCAGTTAGCGACCGCTTTCCCGGAATTATTCTCCCGCAACTCACTCGGCTTCGTTTAACAACTTCGGATGGCCGGCTTGTTAGAGCTCACTGTTCGGCGTCGACATTATGCACACAGTCTAGACTTCTTAGCTGTGAAACTTTCATCCACTCCGTTGATTTTGTTTGTTAACACATTGTCCTCTTGTGAAATTGCGGGAGCAAACTATTTTGTCAAGACGGTTTCGTTGTAGCTATTTTAACAAAATAATTTCTAATTTTATTGAAACATTATTTTGTGGAAGCGTTACTATACGAATACTTTTTTTTCAGAACTATTTATATTAATTATGAATTGATATGTTTAAAAATTACTTCAGAGCTATAAATTATAGTCTATATCTGAAATGAAAGCTAGTAAGGAACACTATGTAAAAGCGTACTATGTAAGAGAGGAAAGACAAGTAATACTGGGTCACGAGGTCTCCTTAATATCTTCCGGAGTAACAGGAAAATGTGAGTATGTATTCAGTGAGTATATAAAACTGTTTACATAAACACTTATTTACCTTCTACGGGTAGGCGGAGCTTGGGATCGAGGCGGGCTTATTTGGAATCGACAAGGAGGTGGAGTGGAGGCTCCTACTTATTTATCAATACGTTATTTAAAATATAATTTCGTATACTTAATTTTCACAACAAATTAGAAGAAACACCTTTCAAACTGTCTTTCAATAACAAGGAATTAATACAAGAATACAGTCGACAAACAAATCATTGCCGCGTCAAAAATATTTCCACGACTCGAACATTTAGTAAACGCTGAAATGCTTTCTCATTTCATAAATTATATTTCTGAAGACAGAGTACAAATGGCCTTTAATTAACTGGAGAATGTCGGCAAAACGGCAAATATGCCAGGATCGCCGGCACCCCGTGCCCTTCCATAACACCGCTAACTACGATTTACACTCGCTGTTATTTATATTCAAGATACAGTAACACAATTTAATTTAATTTACAAGGACGGTTAATGTTATTAACGTCGGGAAAGGAATGAATTCTTCAAGAGAAATGAGTTTGAAATTAAAATTAAATTTATGGTTATTTTTCTTTAGATTCAAACCTTATCATAGAGTACGACTCATTTGTGAAACATTTAATTTGACGATACTTTAAAATCGTTCACATTTGTTTTTATTTAAGCTCGTTTTTGCATACTTACTATGTTTTATATATTTTAAATTTATTAATTTAGTTTTGGAATTATTTTCGGAAAAACTATTTCCAAAACGCGTTTGAATAATTTATATAAACTTTTCTTTACGTTCGAACCCCTATACTTCATTTGATTGATCACTTCGTAAAGTTTTGTACCGATCTATCGGTCGGTCTTCATTGCGAAGTAAGTTACGAAAGCGCCGCGAAGGCAATTTGAAATGAATCGCCCACTCACCCTGGAGGCTCGCAGCCGACTAAAGGCTTCGCCCGTCTGTCGTGCCACTTCACCCCTTGAAACTCAATTTCTCCAAATGAATATCTACCTTAACACTGTGGACAATAGTTCAGTTTACTATAAACCGAATTTCGGGGACTTCAGAGTGAAGGAGTAAGAAAACAGGAGAATACGTCACGAAAATCTAATTCTTCCTGCGTGAACATAATGACGGCTTTACAACCGAAGATGATATGGGCCTCAAATTTTCGCGCGTTGACGAGCTAGCAAATTCAAAGTCCTTATTCTTTAGGTTTGAGGGTTCAGTTTTCAGGTGATATCTTTGGCACGGAGGCGGTCGTAGGGCTTAGGGGTGGCGCGTAAAATAAGCGCATGCGTAAGTCTCTTTAATAACTTCCAAATTCTGAAGTTGTCACAATCGAAAAGATTAGTTTAAAACGATGACAACGACGACCAAAAAAGATTTTTTTTTTCGATATGAATGCCAGAAAATTTAAAGAAAATTTCATTTTCAATCACACTCAGATTTTAAAACCATTTCATTTCAAAAAAAAAATTAATATGTAGGAAAATAATTTTTTTCTCAAATAGTTTCCTGTCTTTCCTGAATATTAAGGTACTCACCACATATGACTGAAAACCAGTGCCATAGAACCAACAATATTTGTATGCCATTATCGAATCTGCACTCCGGTATATGGACTATTTCGCTTCAATGTAACTCTCAATATGAGCTTTGTTACCGCTTTGTGCCGCCATTTCTTGTGTCACTGCATTGAATATATCGGGTGCTTTCCTTTGTGCACGGAATATTGTTCGTCTTTTGTCGAAATGAACGTTACCTCTCCGCGAGTTGTTTCAGAGAAGAATTTCCCGATTGCAAAGTAATATTTCCCCTTAAGAATTTCGATGTGTTTCTTTCATGTCGTAGATGACTTTACTTGGGATTATATTGTGTCGGAAAATGTTATTTCAACTTTGGTTTTTGAGGTCAGACGTTCTTTTTTATTATTATATTTTTGCGTCTTAATAATTTGACACTATGATTTTCAAGAGCTTTGAATTCAATATTGTGTTTTGTTGTAATGGTAAAATACGTAGCTTTTAATGAAAAACATATTTTCGTTTTGTGCATTTTGTTGTTTTTAAGATAAATTTGTAGGGCAACGTTGTTTTTTTTTGCTTCTATAAAACAATTTTGACAAGAACCGCCCGATGTACTATGTACTCATATCAACTAATGCGACCATGCCAGTTTCAAATCCCGCAGACAAGTACCAATTTTTGTGAGGAAATACGTACTTAGCACATGCTCATGAAAACTTTCACGATGAAAGAATAATATTTTTTACTATATAACAATCGTATTTGGAATGATCTTAACTTCATAATATTTCCGATGCGCTATGAAATCTTCTTCTTCAAACAGAGGCTTGGCTGAGCCCATAGCATTGTGGATGTCTACAAACGTCTGTGTAACAACTAGCAACTACTTATCATCAGAGAGGCCGTAAGCTAGCCTATCTGCAATGGCAATAACATTCTACAATATTCAATATGGTCACAAGTTTTGATACTAAATATATAATTTTTTTCTAACTCCATTGCCTTCAACAACATTTAAAAAAATCGAGGCATTAGTTTGAGCGTCATGACTGTAGTTATTATTATCATAGTTATTCAAGAAATAATCAAATGATACGTCGAAAAGAAACGCCAGTGACCTAACAGTTAAAGTAGTCATACAACTCAAATCATCACAATGCAAGTACCAATTTGCTCAAGCAATTATACAGTTAACCTGTGTCTTATAGATACGATCCATCAAAGCTTGGTGCACATGTCACGTATCCAAATTGGTTCCCCTCAAACGTTACAATCCCGATTTCTTAGTTAATTGTCAAATGATCTAGATCTCCATCCCATCCGTAGCGACATGACGACAACTTCGTAACGCTGATATCAATGCGACACGATAAACCGCTTAGCGCTGACCCGGCTAATGCAATAGCATACTATCGACTGCGCCCTGCACGCGTTCTGACGGATACCCTCCATTCACTTTAGATTTTTTTAATACTACTAGTAAGTAGTATTCATTCTAGAACTAGTAAGTTCTAGAAGTTAGCAGAAACCAAAGCATGGATCATCAATCCCGCCGATTTTGATGAGACTTTGACGTTTTTTTTATTGCTTAGGTAGGTGGACGAGCTCACCGCGCATCTGGTGTTAAGTATTTACTGGAGTCCATAGACATCTATGACGTAATGCGCCACCCACCTTGAGATATAAGTTCTAAGGTCTCAGTATAGTTACAACGGCTGCCCCACCCTTCGAACCAAAACGCATTACTGCTTCACGGCAGAAATAGCCGGGGTGGTGGTGGTACCTACCCGTACGAATGCAAAAGAGGTCCTACCACCAGTAAGTAGATTCACTCGCGAAACAGAGCTGCTCTTGAACTGATCGCCATTTAAAATAAGTAAAAAAATGTTTCTTCTAAGAAATAGTAACACCGCATTAGTTAACCACTAATCTTGTGTTGGACTGGTTTTATGTGATTGCATTGTGCTTCCTCTTTTCAAGTCCAATACTCGTCTGACCACCAATTAGATTAGGATTAGTGTCTCCGACAAAACAATTAAGCTCTTTACTCTTGAGATTGTCAATTATTTTCAAAGTGAGCAAAATGTGAACAGGATGTAATGCAAAACATACAACATTGTTTTAGATTATATACTCGTACTGATAGAATTTGAAAATTATTTTAAAATAATAATCTTATTAATTTTAATTTTCTAGAATGAAATGGTCGCGTGGAGCCAAATTAGAAAATTTATTGGCCCTTTGTCTATGGTATCATATAATAAGTACCACGAAACATGATATAGATATTTGTTTTAACTATGCAATGAAAAATTTTCGTTTCGGTTTAATCCTAGATCTATATTAATATCACGAAGTTAGTGTCTTTATTAAGATTTATAATTAAAAAGTATTCAAGTCTTAGATCCACTTGTCTTGTCTCGGAAATGTTATCTTGATACTCATAACATAGGAACATTCTATCTTGGGGACATTCCGGCTCACGCAGGTGCTAACTGGACATGGTTGCTTCGGTGAGTTCCTGCACCGGATCTGAGCCGAGCCGACGGCAGAGTGCCACCATTATGGCTGCGACTTGGACACGGCAGAGCATACGCTCGTCGCCTGCCCCGCATGGGAGGGGTGGCGCCGTGTCCTCGTCGCAAAAATAGGAAACGACTTATCGTTGCCGAGTGTTGTGGCATCGATGCTCGGCGACGAGTCGTGGAAGGCGATCTCGCCCAAGCCCTGGCCCTCTAAGTGTTTCGGGTCTCCTTCACGTGTCGGTCTGGGGACCGGNTGCGACTTGGACACGGCAGAGCATACGCTCGTCGCCTGCCCCGCATGGGAGGGGTGGCGCCGTGTCCTCGTCGCAAAAATAGG